TCCCAGCCCTCTTCCCTTCCCCAGCAAGCCCACTGGCTTCCTTCTGCCTTCTTCTTCTTCTCAGCATAGCAGCCTCTGTAGCTGCTCCACATCTTCCCATTATCATTTTTCCTCCCAGTCAGCCAAGCTGCCCTGCCTCTTGCCACATGCCAATGACACAAAGGGCAATGGGGACACCAGTTTTTGAGGAGGAGTGGGGCAGCTCTGTGACTGTGGGAAACAAATAGGGCAGGGACACCAGCAGGGAGATGGAGCACAGCTTTCTATGGGAGGAGAGCCCAGGACACAAGGCATCTAGGCTGAAGGTGTCAAAAGAAGGACAACAAAACTGGTGAAGGGTCTGGAACTCAAGTCTTATGGGGAGTGGCTGAGGGAACTAAGGTTGTTCAGTCTGGAGGAGGCTTCAGGGAGATCTTATTGCTCTCTAAAACTGCCTGAAAGGAGGTTGTGGCTATGTAGAGTTGGCTTTTTCTTCCACATAACAGTGATAGGACAAGAGGGAATGGCTTCGGGTCGTACCAGGGAGGATTCAGGTTGGATATTAGGAGAAGTTTCTACTGAAAAGGTGTGGTGGCATTGGAATGGGCTTCCCAGAGAGGTGGTGGAGTCACCATCCCTAGAGGTGCTCAAGAAACATGGAGATGTGGCAGTGAGGGATATGGTTAACGGGCATGGTGGGGATGGGCTGACAGTTGGACTAGGTGATTTTCATGGACATCTTTTCCAGCCTTACTGCTGCTATAATTCCATGTCCCATGCTCCTGTCATGTTCAAGGAAGCACAAGTACTGCCTGAGAGGCCAGCCCAGGATAGGAACCCCATGTGCTACATGAGTGCCAACTATGGATACTCACAAGGCAGAGGTGTGGGGCAGTGTGAGCTTGGGGACAGCCCACAAAGGCATGAGGGTCATGGAACTCAGCATGAAGATCTTCACTGCATAGCACCAAGGAGCACAGCTACAAAACACTTGTTGACACTCTTGCCAGAGGTGTTAGAAAGTCTCAGCTGGCACTCCAGGAGGGAAAAGGAGTTCACGTCTCATCTTAACACCCTTTGGATCCTATCTGGAGTTTTGATTTTTCCTCCTCCCCAGTGACAAGCACAGGAGCTGCTGTGAAATGATGAGTCATAGCTGCAGGCTGCAAGGGGAAGGCAAGGTAAAAGGAGAGCAGGAAAAGAGCCAGACAGACAGAGCAAGAAAGGCTGCTGTCACCACTTAGCTCCAAGTCTGTGCTACACAGCCACCTCTGGCTTCCTTGCTGAGCCACACACATATACTATCTGCTGTTTGCCTAGCTAAATCCACAGGGTGAGAAGGAACATGGGAACAGCCACCCTGTGATACGCGGTCCTAAGAACAGCATGACAGTCACAGAGCTTTTTGAACCAGAAGATGTGAACTAACCCCTGTAAAGGTGACAAGTTGGGAAGTGCGTTTGTTGAGCAGCTAATTTAGATTTAGGAGGAAAGCAGCACTTTCAGAAGGCCAAGAGGAGCACATCTGGATCAAGATATGCTAAAACTGCCTCTCCTGTTGCCTTTCAACAAAATTGGCAGCAATTTCCCATCCTGGCTGATCTGCCTCACCGTATGTCCCATCCCTAGTGGCACCACAAATACACTGGGAAAAATCCTCCTGTGCCAAATGTTTTACACACACATGTAGAAGGACATGTGTCTTTCAGGGAGCTGATTTGATTGCATCTCATATACTTTTCATACAGAAATCTGAATATGGATCTGACGCTGTCAGAGACATGGGGCACCTCATCCCACAGCACCAAGTATGGCAGAAACACACCTGGATAGATCTTCAACACTGATGTAGAGCAGGACGGGGATTTCACCGGTTGCTGCTCAGTTATGAGTGGGAAGCAGCTTTTCCAACTTACAGAGCATGTCCACAGTTTCACAACCATACTTGCTCCATGACAAAGGCGATACTGTTGTTCATGGCCTTCTGTCAAAGACTCAAGACAAAGAGCCAGCTCCCAGTAGTGTGGAGACCTTGCTGGTGCTGCAGCACAGTACAGGTTCCCTGCTTCATCCAAGTGATAACTTGAAACCCCAGCCAGTCATACAGCAGACACTAATTTCAATTAAACTGATCTCCTCTACCCTTGCCTGGATTGTAACTTGTTTCTGGTTCAAACTGTGACATTTATTCCCACCAGAGACTTCATTTTCAATTAATCATCCTTTTTTTTTTTCACCAAAACCAAAAGCAAAATGCTGTCACTTAAAAATGCTCAGCCATTTCTACATGAAAACATGCTCTGAGGACTGCTTATCTCAGAGTTTCTACCAGAGCTGACAGTTGCTGAAATATAGGCACTAGGATTGCTAGTGTTGACAAGGCTTTAAAGCATCATCACACTGAGTAGCCATTAGAGGTTATATTTCAATGGAAGTAATGTAATTCAATTACCATCACTCTTCAGCATGTGCCATCTCTGGAGGCTGACAATAAGCCATATCATCCATCAGATTTTAACCTGAACTTTGCATTCTGGCCCTATAGATTGCCACTTCTCCATTATGAATGGCTTCATATTTTTAGCCTCATTTATTAGGGAAAAGAGGTTATCTAATTACACTGTCCATCCGTCTGCCTGCCTGCCAGCCCTCCTCAACTTTTCAACCAGTTTCAATCAAGAGGCAAAGGTCATCAAGAAAATTAAGTCCCTATCAGTTTTGCAACTAATCAGAGGCAGAGTAAAGTAAAGAAATCATTCGAACATCCCACCTGGGAGCTCCATGCAAACCAACAATTCAGCAAGTGTGGACATCTAACACCACCTCTCTATGTGCAAGGCACATAAAAGCCCGGGGAAATTGTGTTACTGCGTGGAGAGAAGGTAAGAGAGGTCCATGCCTGGGAATGAGACACAAATCCTTAGGAAAGTGGAGCTTTTTGAGCACTGCTCTTCATGGAACAAATGTTTTATCAATGCAGTAGTCATTGACAAAGAATTTCTTATGCATATTAGCCAAAAAAAAAAAAAAAAAAATCGCTCTCACAAAATACAAATTACACAGAAAAAAACAACGTAACATTGGCTTTCCAAGTCTATGCATTTAATCTCTACCAATGCCAGCCACATCCACAATTCTTTTTCTGAATATGTGAAACATAGAATAACTTTACTGTTTCACTGACTACGTGCATCCTTTTAATTGATTCCTCCTACTGATGATTTTCAACCTTACTGATTCACAGTACTATTGCTCTTCTGCCTCTGTACTGCCATAGAAGTACTCCTGACTTGGCTACTTCTTTATGCCGTGGATCAGCTGCACAATTACTCTGATTTATGAAAACTTATTCACTTTTCACAGGCAATTTGTGCGCATCTGTCATTGCATCTATTCCTTTTCTCTCTTCCCCTCCATCCTTGCAACCTTTTCCTCCTCCTCCTCCTTCATACTGCCATTTATTCTAAATCCCTTTCTTTTTTCTATTCCCACTCGCTAGTTCCTGTCATCTCTGTATCTCCCCTTTTCCTCCTTCTCCACACGTTCTCCATCCCAGCCTTGCCCCTCATTTGCCACCTCTTCTTTTGCCTCCCACATACACTTTCACACTGTACACCTTCTGGCTTCTTCTTCTAACTTGCTCTTTGCTCAGAAGATGGACCGTAGATGCCCCATCCCTGGAGACACTCTAGCTAAGGCTGAACAGGCTCTGGACAACCTGATTGAGCTGAAGTTGCACCTGTTCATTGCAGGGGAGTTGGAATACATGACCTTTAAAGTTCCTCAAATGATTCTATGATTCTGTGGTTGATTCTAAAGTTGATTCTGTGACTCTAAGATAGTCACCTCCCATCCCTCACACACAGTAATACAAGAAAGAAACCAAGAGTCAAACTGGACACCTTGTTACAACACTTCTAGTCTTGTTTCCTCTCACTACTCTATAGATCTATCAGGAAGCTGAACTCTCACTCCTGCTCTCATCTGCCCATCGTCATCTTCTCACATCCCTCCCACTCTCACAACCCACTTTTCCCAGTCACCATTTCCAGTTATTTCCCAATTATTTCCCTGTAATACAAGGGACTTCAGTCACACCCAAGACTATATTGTCAATTCTGCTCTTTATGAATGTCTTTCCCTGCAATGTTCATGCCCTGCCTCTGGTTGACCACTGGCATCTTTCCCTCCGTGCCTCTGAAGAGCCGCACTGCACAGAGCCTCCCTTCACTTCAAACATTTGCTTTCCCTCCAAACCTCTTCCTCCAGTACAGCAGTTTCTCTAATTCTTGCCATTGTTGAAAGCTGGCACTTGTCTGCTAGAAGTGGTTGCCTTCTATTGTCTGAAAAGTTACCCACTCCACGTCAGACACCCACTGCCCACAGTGTACCCCACTGGGAACCCCAGTGCACAGCAGATGTCCAAAGGAAGGGACATACAGCACACAAACACAGCTGGGTGGCCATTCTACTCCCACAGCAGAAGCACCAAGGCTTACTCCTGCCCCAAGCCCATCACCAGCTCCTGCTGAGAGCCCACAGAAAACACCAGCTGAACTTTCAGGACATGACCACCCAGTCTTTTGCCTTCTTTTACAATTTATAACTTTTAACTACTCCTCATTTTCTCATCCACATATGCCACCCTTTACCTCCCCCTCGACTCGCTTTTGTCAATTCCTAGCAAGTTCTCTGCCCACACACAAAACACAGTGACTTTGTCTCATTTCAGTCTCCACAGAAAGGACACTTTTGCAAACCCTGCAGTACATACATCCTTCAGTCTTCAGTGGCCAGCAGTCTCCACTCTTCACACCCATATTGCCATCAGCCCACATCATCACTCTTTCTGGTTTTTGTCACCATTTTCTCTCCCTTCCATGATATTTGTTTCTTATTAGACATTAAGACTTCTCAAGCAGAAGCAGTACTCGCACAGCAACGAGGCCTTGCAGGAGCAACCAGGTATTCTTACCACAGAGCAGAAGGATTAGAACCTCCCAGGACAAGTAGGGACTTACCGAGCCGTAGAGTTCCCCTTTCTCATTCATTCCAAGGTAGAGTCCGCTGTCTACTCCTCGGATGCTGACCAGGCCCACTGCTATACTGATGAACTCTAGTATACCTAGAACATACAGGAAAAAGCACACAATGTACACGTTGTACACTCTGGAAGGTTTTTTCCCAGATGTGACTGATCCCTCAGTGACAATCAGCTGGTGCCAAGGGTTGCTTTCCCTTTTCAGTGTTGATTGGACAAAGATGAGGAACAAATGAATGCACTTTAAATACGATGCTCGAATGGTGAAGTCCTTTAATTTCTGCTCAAAGGATGCATTGCAGACAACATTAATGTGTCAAATTAGATTGTCCTTATGCTTTCCTGTCATTTCTGAACACAAAACTGAAGCTCATCCCTAATGTAGACTTGTCAGCATTGTGATTTGTGCAACGCATAAAGCATTCAATGAAAAAAACTGAGTTTTGGGACAGACAGAATTACCATTATTAAAGCACCTATGAAGTCTGTCTTGCTGAGTAAACTTTAAAGAAAAAAAGAAAAAGAAAAAAAACCAAAACAACATTTGAGTCAGCATCGTGAGATGAAAATAACTTTACACATGGAGCCAGAACTCTACTTCCAGACATCAATGAATCAGGAATACGTGGAAAGGTTTACTCACAGTGTCATCTTCAGAGGCTTGAGAAATGAGATCTGTAGCACAGTCCAGAGGCTCACACTATTCCTCTAGATACTAGGTATTCTCACTGGTATGGGTTTTTTTTACTCATCTCAGACTTGAAAATCGAAATACTCTAAACCCAAGGGATAGTATGTGAACAGTTACATCCTCTTGTACAGGCAGCAGTGAGCTCACACAGACGTTTGTGCCCCGCAGACAGGGCATTCTGCAGACAAGCTCTCCCTCCTGCAGATCTCCCAGGTTCATCATCCATGTGCCCAGTACTGAGAGAATCAACTCAGGCACCGCCTCCTCTGCGTCTGAGCTCTGGTTTTCTGGCAGCCTTTCCATCTCAGTGAGGATGCTACCAGCCAGACCTCACCCACAGCCAGAACTGTGTGGAATCAAAGGGGATCATTCCCTATTCCAGACTGCTCATGAAGACCACAGAGTGACCCAGCCCCATTCAGAATCACCACGCAGTCACACCAAGCTGCGTTCCAAGCCACAAAGTAAAAGCCCAGCGCAGCATTTCCAATGGAGTTTGTGAATTCTCATGTCTAAGCCCATCACATAACTATTTTAAAAGCTCGTTGGGAATTATATTTGCATGAAACAATAAAATAACAGCATAGTATGTGTTGAGCCTCACATGGCCAATAAAAAAGCACTTTCATGGATTTTTGGAACAATTAATTTGGCATCTCCCACAAAATAGTTGTGCACTAATCAATAGCAGGCATGAATCACATAAATTTAACAAAGCACAAGCTGAAGCCAACAGGGAGAATTTACAGCCAAGCTAATGTAAAGATGAAATGTATTCCCTGCAAGGGACTATTGATCATTGCCTTATATATTATTCAGCACTACAAATGCCACAGTCTATTGTTTTGATAACCCTGCTTTAAGGGTTCATCTTAAATTATCCTCTACATATGCACAAATCTTAAAACACTGGGAGGAAATATTTAGTAATTACAGAATTTTTTGAAGCCATAAAAAGTGGCCCCGTGCTGTTTATCTGGTGTGCACAGTATCACCGATACAATCGATCCATTGAAACAATCCAAACATCCCCGCTCTCTCCGGCAGTGCAATACAGCCAGACTTCTTACTAGAGCTTTTTCTGTAAAGCTTTTACCAAATGATCATGTTACTCGATACGTATTACCAAGAACTTGAACTGAAGTTAGATGCTATGTGAAGCATTATCCCATGCTGTAAGTCAGTGAGTCTGGCACCTTTCACGTTAATACGAATATAGACTTTAATTGCTGTCCTCATTGCAAATATTTGGGCACGTGCTGCTTAGTGTGTCAAAGGAACAAAAAGCACTGTCACATCCCATTGCAAATACCAAGAGAATTTAAGGTACTTGGCAAAGAGCATCCACATATTTGGGATCAGAATAGAGATTTCCTCATTTAAAACAGTCAGAAGACTCCTAGCAGCATTATTCTACCTGGGGCCAATCGTGAAGTCATAAGCAAGTTGAAGTGTTGCATGGTTTGGCCCAAACTTCCACGTCTTTTTTCACTTTATCATTTCTGTAACATACACACAGTGCACAGCACCTGAACCAGATATTAAAATAGACATCCCTCAAAATGGGGCTGGGCCAAAGGAAAATCAGGACAGCTCCAAACTTTATAAGCTATGGCCCTATTAATAGCTGACAGTGGGGAAGAGAAGAAAAGGAGAGAGGAAACGCATCTCAGTACATGGAGTCCTGAGCGTCCTCTTGTCAGACAACAGACATTTACTATAGTGAAACCACTCCAAGGGAAGGACCCACAAAGAGCTTGGGAAGAATGCTTGGAGAGATGATTCCTTGCAGCCCTCCATGCACCTCCTTCACTACAGCCCAGCTCAGGCATGGAACAGCACACCAAGCACTTGGGGCCAGTCCCACCGCCATCCCATTGCAGGTCCTCCACAGAAGGTGACACTGTGACTTCCACAGGACACGCTTCCTCCAGCTCTAAGCAACGAGCATCTTAGCAACTTCCTTGGTTCATTCTGCCCTTTGGACATTTTGGTCGTTTGCTATATATAGATTCTTTTCCTGTTGTCGGATCAAAGCAGCGCAGCTTCAACTGCGCATTCTAAACACAGCTACGGGAGGAGGCCGGAAGGGATCTGCGGGCAGTACGTGGGGTGCTGCAGTGCGGTTGGCATCTGCGGAGGGGGGAACCGAGAGGATGAAGGGAGCAGACCTGGGGCTTTCCCCCCACCCCTAGCTCTCAGCAGCACCGGTCGGGTTCTCAGTGACGGAGCTCTCAGCCCGGACGCACCCGCGTGTCCCAGCTGTCACCGCTCCTCCCACTCCCCCGCCCTGTTCCAATTAAGGGACCGAAGCGCAGACAGCCCCGGCCCCCCCACCCCCCCACCCCCCACCCCCCCCACGAGTCAGCGGGGCCCTGCTTCACTTCTAGGTTGTCTCAGCGTGCATCGTCCCCGCACCCTCTTATGGGGGCCCTTCGGGAGAGCCGCGCAGACCCTTCCCAGGGGATGGACCAGAGGGTGGGTGAGGGCCGCTCCTCTTCCCTGTAAACCCACCCCCTTCGAACTCACCCCCCATAAACCCAACCCCCCACAAACCCGCCTCCATTTCCCCAGCCCCGGAGGGCTCAGACCCCTGTACTCATCCATGCCCCGCACCCAACGCTCAGAGAAAGCTGCAGCCCCGATCCGCGCCCCCCGCCCCCAGCAGCACCCTAGGGCGGAGATGCACCCCCCAGCTACAGCCGCGCCCACAGCCGCTGAGCGCCTCGGTTCCCTGCGGCAGCAGCGCAGCAGCACGGCACAGCAGGTACCAGGGAGAGGATTTCACCTGCTGACAGCTTTTTTTCCCCTCTTTTCCTGCACGCTCCTATTTTTTTTTAATGCTGTGCATGCAGTCCTTGTGCTGACGCACAGGGACACGCCTCTCCGCTCTTACAGAGTTCCTGAATTTACAATGACTCCACTGTGTGGCAAATGCTCTAGACGAAAGGAGACTGCATTATAAAAAAAAAAAAAAAAAAAAAAAAAAAAAAAAACCTTTTGTCACCCAGATGAGATAATACGGCTTTGATCACCCACAACTGCATTCCGGGGGGAACCGGGCCGTGCCCTCCCGGGGAGCTTTTCCCTCAGACATGGACATCTCCGAGTGCTGCTGCCGCTGCTGCTGCGGGCATTGCGAAACGCCGGGCTGCCGGAGCCGGGCGAGTAGAGACACACAACATGGCTCGGCTTATTGTATGCCACAGGCACGCATCCAACATCGCATCACAAAAGAATTGCTCTTATCTGATGTCTCTCCAGAGGGGTGTGTGTGCGCGCGCGAGCGGGGAGGGGGATTCCCACCGCACAGAGCCCCGAGAAGAGTTTGCGCGCAGCCCCCGGGGTTCTCTTTGTCCTTATTCTTGAAGGAAAACTTCCTCCCCCCAACAGAACCCCCCGTTCACGCAGGTTTCCCTCACATGCTCCGAGGTTCCGAGTTCACCGCTCTCCCTGGGCAACACCCGGACATCACCACCCCAAAACCCGAATAGCGACCGCCGCTAGGGTCACCTCTGGGCGGACACAGAGGCAGCGCCGCGGCGCCGGTACGGCACCGGTACGGCACCGCCGCTCCTGTCCCCACACGCAGAGCAGCGCGGAGCCCCAGCGCATCCCGCAGCTCCGGCTGCGCGCTGGGGGGCACCGAGAGGGGAGAACCGAGAGTCGTTGCCGCGGCGTAGCCTGAGGAACCACATCGATGGGGACAAATAATGTTAAAGAAAAAAAAATCTACGTAATGCCTGGGGTGCAGTAGAGCTGCCCCGGAACCCCTCAGCAGTGGCCGCCAAGCCATTTTTAAAGGCAGGGTCCCGCAGAACGCGCCCCCACCCCGCAGGCAGCAGCCGGCGGCTATACCCCCCCCCTTCCCACACCAAGGTGCCCCGCGGTGCCGCCGCACTGCCCTCCACCTGCCGGGCCCGGCCCCGCGCTGCGATGCGCAGTGTGAGCGCAGGGAAACCCGCGCGGGTGTGCGTGTGCTGTGCGGCTGAGTCTCCGTGTGTCAGGAAAAAAAAGCACCGTGGGTGAGAATTTCCTCCATTCCCCGCGCCGTGCCGCCGCCTCTCCGCGCCGCGCGGGCACTTTGCGCACTTTCTCTCCGCTCCGCTTCCCCCAGTGCGCGGGGCGGCGGAGATGGGCGCAGAGCCCCTCCGCGCCCTGCGGGGATTCCCTCCCGCAACACCGCGATCGCCTACACGGTTCACAAAGCCGTAAAAGGCAGTTTAGATACCGCTCAACATCTGGCATTAAAACACGAGAGGAAGAAAAAAAAAAAAAAAAAAAAAAAAAAAAGAAAAAAAAAAAAAGCCTTCACCACGGGACTTTGTTTTTACGACCGAGTGCGCGCTGTCAGGTTGGGTCGCTCCCGAGTTAACTCCTTCCCGCAGCGCGGAGCGCCGCGCCTTACAGCCTGGCGCAATCCCCTCACCCCTTCGTAACACATAGCCCCGGCTCCCCCGGGCGCTCCGAGGCGCTTCGGTGCGTTCTGTCCCCGGCCCCAGGGCAGCTCACTTCCTCCCCCCCCCGCCAACTCCGGGCTCCGGGGTGCGGGCAGAGCACGGAGCCCTCCGCCGAAGCCACAGAGAGACCGAGTGCCGCGGAGCGCTGCGGGATCGCCGCGGGAGAGCCCCGCACGCTTCGCCAGGAGAGCCCCGCACCGAGCGGGGGGGGGGCCGCGGCCCGGGCAGGTAACCGGGAGGGAACCGAAAGAGGAAAAGCCTCGTGCATTTGCGTACGGGACGGCAGCCACTCCCTTCGGGAAAGTCGGTGTGTTTTAAATCGGAGCGGTTAATGATTAAAGCCCCTTTAAACTCGCGAAATCGCGGCGCTCCGGTGAGACGTCCCGAGCGAAATTTCCTCCCCGCGTGGATCGGAGCGGAGCTCGGCCCCCGGCTCGGTCCGGCCCCGCATCCGCCGCACCCCGCAGCGCTCCGTTCGCCCCCGGGCAGCGCCGCGGCCCCTCTGCCCGCCGCCCACCCTCCCCCCCCCCTCCCCGCCCGCGGTCCCAGCGCGTTATTCCATCACATGACCCCTCAAGGGTTAAGGAGAGTACCTACCGAATCGGCTGTGGTCTTGCCTGGTGCCCTGGATAGTACCATTGGGGAAGATTTCTAAATGAAATCCAGTCCTGCAGTAGAGCTGCCTCCGCCTGAGGATCCCCTTTAAATGGTCCAAGTCCGTGACCGCGGGGCCCCTGGGCAGCCCACCTGCCTCAGCCTGGCCCAGGTGGTCACTGAGCAAAACCGGGCTGTCCGCCGGCAGCGCGGGCACGTTCCCAAAGGGCACCGCGTCCTGCACACCGAAATAGTTCCCAACTTCACCTAAGGGAGCCATCAGAAGATTCTGCTTTTAGAGAATAAGAATAAACAGTAATGATGGTGCCAAACCCAGGAGATATAAGATAGGTATATTCCACTCCTCTCCCCTCCCTAGCGCGGTTACAGAGAGAATGTTCTTTCTTCAATCCATTAAACGCATAAATAAAAGTAATATTCTGCTTTGACTGGTACAGGTTCAAGGTCAAACCAGTTAGTCTAAGAAACCACCACTTTATACTCACACACTGACATATTTATAAACATATAGATGTGTATATCTATAGAAACGCATATATCCCCAGCTCTTAGCAAGCAATAAGGTCTTCAGCCCATCCAACCGTAATAAAGAAAAAAATCCGTAGTTTCTCCATTTGGTTTAAGAATAGAATGACCATAGCAACTTAAATACCTAGGCGGTAGAGGGGTTTTTTTAAGATGCACAGGCTACGTCAGGATTTATGGATTCTGACTCCAGAAAGGCATGCGCTGTTTTTACTCTATAACAGACTGCATACATCAGCATGAATCCCGCAAAGGGGGAGGGGGGGATCTCACGGTGTTGGCTGAGATAAATCCAAAAAAAAAAAAAAAAAAAGAAAAATGCAAAAAAAAAAAAAAAAAAAAAAAAACAACTTTTGACGTCCAATTCTATTATCCAGAATTCTCAGGAGGCTCAGCAGATGTCCACTGGTTTGGGGGTATTGCCGATCCACAAGCAAAGCAGCACCATACAAGTGCTGGTGTCTCTCTTGGCTGGCTCGGAACAGGTGTTGCTCCTGCAGGGCTCCCTGGGCAATGTTGTACTCCAGCACTGAGCTGCGGCTCTTGACTGTGGATCTCCATCCAGCACGCAGAGTGGCGCAGGAAGAGGCATTGGGCTGGGTTTAAGGTAGTCCTGAGTGCTGCTGGAAGGATTCTGCGAGGTCCTAGCGCTCAGCCCTACCTGCTGCAATACAGAACCGCTTCCAGCGCCGGGCACAGCGCTTACTGCTCTGCGGCAGCGCGGGCGGGGGGGCACCGACCACAAAGAAACCACCGCGAGAATTATTTTTCTTTTCCCGTGGGCTGTGCTTCGGGACCCACTCAGCATCCCCCACGACCCCTCCCCATATTTACACCCAAGTGGGGCGCAAACTCAAATTGGCACTGCCAATGGGAAGTTTGGGAGAAATTTTATATCTTTTTTTTTTTTTTTTTTTGGTGGGGGGGGGGAGGAAGGGGAGGCGTGGTTCAGTGCCACTCCACATGGTTTCCCCTCCCCCCGCGATCCAGAAGCCCTCCCCGCATTGCCCCGCGCTGATTTTCGGGGATGCTCCGTGTCGCCGCATGGTGCCCCGAAGCTTCAGGCCCCCGCCGCCCGCAGCGCTCGGGGCACCCCGCGGCGCCAACAGTGTTCTCCTCCCGCATGCAGAAGTTATTTAAAACCGCCAGGAGAGAGCCACTGGAAGCGGGGTGAGGGGAGGAGGGAGAGGGGGAGAGGATTTATGTTTCTTCTGTGATGTCGATGATGGATGTTATTGTTGTTTCGCCGCGCTCCAATATAGCTGCATTAATTAGCAAAGGGACAGAAGGGTCTCTCTCCTTCATGAAGAGCTCGAGGACCGGGCTCAGCGCAGAGGCTATTTGGGATTAAATGCAAAACCTGAAGACAGGCTCTTTTATCTATCTATCTATCTATCTATCTATCTATCTATCTATCTATCTATTTTATTTTATTTTTGCAAGGGAGAGAGAGGGAGGAAAGAAAAAAAAAAGAAGAAATGCATTATCATGGGAGTGATTGCACGATACCAATGAAGATGCGCACCCCAGAGGTGTCAGGGTCCAGGAAGGTCCCTTGGTGGAGAATGGAAACAGAGCCCTGGGAAAGGAGAATTTCACAAAGGGGGTATTTAAAAAATGCTCGACTCTGTGCATGTCTCCCTGCTGGGTTGGAACAGTTCTCCCAGGCTTCCCCACCACCGAGCCAGCAGCCTCACTGCATCATCCCTTGTCACCCCAACTTAACACTTGGGAGAAAGGAAGGGGACTCTCAGTTTCCACATCTGTGGGGAGGGCTGAGTCCTAAACCCCCAAGGATGCGCAGGGAGTGGAGGTGCTCCAACCCTTTCAGTCACTTCCATTGGTCCGTATTTCCATCTGAAAGATGGGATTCAGGAGCTTCAGGGCAGGATCCCTTCTTGCCCATCCTGCACAAGCCTACCAGGAGCAGCAGCTCTGTGTCAGCTCATGCAAGAGCCAAGCAGCACCCCCACCCCTAAGCAGGGACGTCTCCGGTCATGTTCCATGGCATTTGCCATATATATCAGGTTTAAGGACACTCCTCGCACACACAATGGGTGTATCAGAGTGAACAACTGCAGAATGACTTGGGAAAAACTGCAGAACTCGCCATGTCAAAAATCATTACTCTTTATCAACTTGATCACGGCAGCACCCGGAGGCCCCACTCGGGGATCACAGTCCCATTGTGCTGGATACTGTAGACACATGTAATCAGAGAGATGGTCTATGCCCAAAGAGCTTATGATCTTAACCCATGATGAAAGACAACAGGTGTATACCACAGACACATGGGGGAAGGATAAGGGAAAAGCAGTGTTGAGAATAAAAAGCAACAGGCTTGGCCAATGGCAAGAGTTGTGCGGCAGAAGGAAGTTTTAAGGAGATTTGAAGGAGAACAATAAAGCAGCTTTATGGTTATTAATGGGAAGCTTTTTCTATGCATAATGTGTAACTTGGAAGAGAACATAAAATTGCTTGTTAGGAAATTGGGCTGCTGAGGAGTGAAGGCTTGTGCCACTGGCAGAGAAAAAGGGAGTATCTCAGAGCGGCTAAAGGGCCTGGGATCTGCAGTGCTGCTCCTTCTGGGAACAGCTGAGCTCCTTCCAGTGCCTTAAAATTTACAATCATAGCCCCAGAGAAAAGGAAAAGAAGGAATTTTATTTTATTTTTTTCTCTAGGCCAGGTTTCATTATTTTCTATCTTGTACTTTAGGCCAGCATACCTCGTGAAAAATATCTGAAGGTAAGAAGGAGGTATTGGCATCGTTATTTTTTTTTTTTAGGGAACTTAAAAGAAAGCCCACATATTATTGGCTCTAGGAAGTTTAGTGTTATAAAAGTGTTATCTAAGTTGAGGCTTTGATGTCTGAATTACTCATAAGTATCAAAGCCACACATGAATTATGCAGGACATCCCCAAAATTATACCCATCTGTGAGTAGGTGGTGTTCCAACCCTGCTTCACATAAAATCTATGTGTGATGTGTAATGTCAAACTTTCCCTTTACAGAAGTATGGCTTCACTGATAGCTCAGGCTGTATTAAAAACCTACACTTTTATTCCCAAGACACAGAGGCATCCCCAGCTCCCCTCAACTAGAGATTCACACCCACTTCCCTTTATACCCTTCTGAAATTAAAGACTGCATCCGCCACAGTGACTCATCTTGAGCTTCCTCATCAGCTTTGTGCAGGATTTTACCTCCAGCTAGCAGAGCTGGTCAGAAGGATCCTGCATTTCTTAAGTAGTTCCTGGCACACATTCTCCTCACCCACACTGTGCTGATGTGACACCTCTGGCAAGCTTCAGGCATCATGACTTCTTTTTTCTTAACTATTACACCTGTACTCTGCAAAACCATTGAGATTAATAAGAAATCGTCACATAACAAATAGTGAATGTCATTTAAAAAAAATAATAAATCAGACTGCCATAAGAATTTGTTTTGTTTTGTTTTCTATACAGTGCACAATTTCACCAGAAGTATGGCATCCTATTCTGAACCTACAATACAACCAACCTGCTTATTTCCCAGTCCTGCAGATGACGAATTGGAAGATTTGTACAAGTAAATGAGAGGTTCTACAACTTTCCAATGAGACAGATGGCATTTGCCAATGTTACTAAAATGCCTTGAGTCAGCAAACTGTAAAAAGCTGTCTTTGCATAAATAGAAAACAGTACAGAAATTAATGTTAATTTCAGATCTGTTTACAAACTGGAATTCTTAAGGTATTTTGGAAGCGTGGTATAAACATGAATGTGATAAGAGCATAATTCATCTTACATCACTTCAATCTGCAAAAATGGAGACATCTAGATAACTTGTTCTTTAATGCAGAGAAATGGGAGCAATTTTAGGGCACAAATCATCTGGCCTATTTGAGGCGTCCACTTTAGGATGACATGACTCATGCGCTAAAGATGCTTAATTCTTTCCTGTGTATGAAGGAAGCCTATATTAGATATAGACTTCTCCATGACAGAGGTCTAGATAGGGCTGGATGGGTCCCACCTGCTGTGCCATACACGTGATTCAGCATTTCCCCAGAACGGGTGGTGAGGGCATTAAACTATTAATACAGCCACACAAATTAATCCTCCACATAAAACTCGATGTCGTCTCAGCAAGGAAAATCCACTGAAACACATGATTGTGAAACGTGAAGTTACCTGGCAGTAAGTATTTGTGAAAACCTATTACCTGTGAGACTTAAGTTGATTGGATTAACTTAAGAAGTGCCTATGGGTTTAGGAAAATTGATGTAGAGGAACATCTTTCCTTTCTCACTTCAGAATTGGTAGGAAAAAAAAAATAACAGGAAAAAACATGCCCCCCCCCCCCCCAAAAAAAAAAGAAAATCCTGTAGGAATCTATGGGCCTATTTTGCGAGAGGTGCACCCCATTCCCACATTTTCAGATGAGGGGATTGTAAAACATAACACAGCTGAGATGTAATACTGCAATAAAATGTGGGCACCAGAGTCAGCACACACGCACGGCTGCAGCGCGGTGTCTGAGGCAGATTTCTTACGCCGTTACAGCGCTCTGCTGTGTACAGAAATAGGTGAGCAGTCGTTAAAGCACAGCAGGCTACGACCTCTGAGACTGTCCCTGAGAGGAAGCTATCAGGTTACATCTGTTAACACAGCCGAAGTACGAAAGTAATAATGTCATTATTGGTCAAATACGGCGCAGCACTCTGGCACAGGTATGGATAAAGCCTCCTG